CGATCTGCTTTAGTTCATCCAAATAATGCCTGCAGAAGATCAAACTTAGGTTGATGAGGAGGGAGTGGAGTGCTCCACTAGCCATTACTCTCATAACATACTCACGTGACCTAGTTCCATCGAGTAACAACCTGGAAAATTATACGATCGTTCTTCACCACAGGGGTGAAATGATAAGTCAAAATCCTCGAATAGAAGTAGGTAAATGCTTTAGTGGCTTATAAAACTGTTATGACGCAATTCTGCTATGACGAGTCTGGATATAAGATTTGACCAACAGATGGCATTACTTTCGGTACGCTCTGCGCAGAAATTGGTACCTATGATTACGTTGACACGATTGCGCACCATCACATTTAATGCTTGTTTATCTATTTTTCGTATGTTTTAAACAGTGGGTTATCGTTGCTGTGCAAGTATTAAGACGCTACACTTCTAAGTAGGCTAAAGAAACGGTTTTATTAGTGTGGTTTGCATAGAGTGCTAATATATACGAACAATGGCTGTATATAGATGGACAAGGCACTGATGAACAGGCTCACTATTAAAAGTTAAACTTAATATCAACCGAAGTTGGGCCTGGTGTGTCTTAGTGCAGAGTGAGAACGAATCACGAACCATGAATCCTTACAGTCATCATTCGCAAACGCTTATCACACCCGTCCAGGTGTATGAAACTTTTATTTGTGATAATTAACTAATTAATATAGGAGGAGCAGCCTCTAAATTTTCTAGGTTATTTTTTTAATCCGTTACTTTAATATTTAAAATAGGAAAAGTCTAAAATATGACAGTTTTGTTCCTGCAGTAGTAATTTTCTCTTTTAACATTTTTGTAGGGCGTTAATCTATCGTTTTATTAGCAACTTTAATTCTTTTTCTTTTTTTTTACGACTGTTGAATCTCTGGAAGATTTTACCATGGTGGCGCCCAACTCCAATCCAGGTAGCCGTTTCTAATTTAGCGGTAAAAGACTAAACAGAACGCAGCTAGTCATCACCACCCAACACCAATTCTTGGAATACTCTTTTACCAACGAATAGTGTGATTAACCGTCACATTATAACGACCTCATGGCTGAAAAGACGAGCATCTTCGGCGATGGGGATTCGAACCTTCAGATTGTCAGTCGAACGCCCTAACCACCAGGCTAGCTTTGATATTACGTCTCCTCTAAAACAAAATACAAAGAAAGAAAGAAAAAATACCGCCAGTGATAATATTCCTCAATCAATCACCAATGTGCAATAGTTTGTTTATAGCTGCATAAGTTCCGAGTGTGGCGCCATCTTTTCATCATCATTGCAATTTGAGATAATTGTTAGGTTTGCTTTTTAAAGTAATATATACATATATCTTTACTTGTAGTTCAAGCTGCTTACTCAATATCCTTATTAAATCTTTACACTGGTTTAGAAAATTCTCTTGTTTGTGTTTGGTGAGTAAGGGGGGGATAGTAATTGGGTTAAGTAACAAAATTCAAAAAATTGACAGAAAAAATTGTTTTGTTCCATATATTATGGATATATGCCGCTTCAAGCGTTTTTCTTGAGGCAAAAGAAACAAAATGCAGCAAAAATTGGGATAATTTCCCCAAATGAACAAAATGTTGGTAAGTGTTTCATATTGTATCTATTACAATTGCTGTGTTGTACACGCGAATATCATATAATAATTCAATAATCTTCACATAATAATAATAATTTTTATATTTTCACAAGATAACTTTTAGTTCACAATTATATTGAGATATCTGGATCTGACAATGTTTGTTTATTTAGCTGAATAATCGGCTGTTTGGGCTGTGCCCACTTCATGGATCGAACACACCTTAAGCTGCGTTTTACTGCAACTCCTGCTGTTCTTTACAGTTTAAGGTTATGTAAAAATACGTAATTATTTCAATGCCTCGATTTTCAGTCATCACCGCTGAACAACAGGTAATTCTGATTACAAACTTTACTAAACCCACTGAACATTAGGTTACTTGGGTTACTCCTACTGAAGATCGGGTAACTAGAGTTATTAACCCAAATAGTCCTACTGAAGATCAGGTAACTAGAGTTATTAACCCAAATAAATGGGTAAATAATTTTACCACTTTTAAAGCGCCATCTGCCGATGGGAAAGGGGTAAGTTTACTGACTTACAGCACTAAGATCCGTGGTTCAATTTCCCGCGGTGGCACAGCAGATAGCCCAATGTGGCTTTGCTGTAAAATAAACAGGAAAACAGGCTAAAGAGCCCGATAAGAAACACATAGAATTCAGTCAACAGCCGTCCTTAATGTTGTACTTCTGTCCAGAAGGAAAACAGCCAGCAGCACCCGCCGCCATAATGGGGATTGCTTGTCACTAACAGCTAAACGTGCGAAACGTTTTCAGTGGTAGCACGTCTCAAACCACGAATAATTCGATCTACAGCTCGGTACGCTATCAACTAGGCCACACCTGGCCCAATAATATAGATAATTTTTTTTAAAAAAAAAGATAGAAATTTTATAGTTTATATATATATTAAACAATGATTATACTTCGTGTCAGACAAGGAACTTTATTAAGAACATTCCAGAAACGTTTATGGTTTTGGGCTAATTTAAAACCACCTTATTGTCTTCGATACACGCCCACTTAACAACAAGCTGACTTTTTTTTTATTCATTTCTAAGTTTTAAGGCATAATAAAATAATTTTGCGACCTACCGCTAGGTCTTGAGGCGGCATATTGAAACCAGTTAATAGGTGTATTAAAGCCAGGGCAGTGTATAAGATCTTACGTAACGTCATATATAATTGCAATCACCTTAACGGACAGCTTACAGCTTACTAGTTTCATTTAATTTTTCTTCGTCATTTCTATGTGATGTTTATCTCAGGTATGAAATTTCTAACTATATATTTGTTTACGGCCTTAACAAGACCTGGTTTGTTTCTACAGCCCCAAACTGAGTACATACAGCGAATGGTTGACATAATAAAATGTTAACATTGTTCTCTTGAGCTACAACTAAGTTTTTTATTCAGTTATCTTTTCATCTTGTTTAGTTAACACGTCCAGAATATCCTTTAAGCCATGCGGGACCACACCTAGGTCTGAAAATATTTGGCAAGTGTACCATTATAACAAGTTTGTTTGTTTCAGAATGATCACGCAAAGCAACATAAGGACCTATCTGATGCGTATAGCCGTCCCTAAATTTTAAACTGATAGACTAGAGGGAAGGCAGCTATTCAACAGCACACACCGCCAGCTTTTAGGTTACACTTCTCTGACCATATACATGGACCTGACTGTTATTCTTATAGTGTAGAGCTCGTTTTTGCGGCAAGGGGCAGGGCACCATGAGCCCTCAAATTCACAGTACGAGCACACTAACCACTGGGTTACGTTCGGGTTACCATTTTATATGAAATCATAA